GGTGGCTCACGCCTATAATCCTAACTACTCAAAGGGCTGAGATCTGAGGATCATGGTTCAAAGCCAGTGCAATAAGAAAGTCTGTGAGACTCATATGTCCAGTTAACCAACAAAAAGCCACAAGTAGAGCTGTGGCTCAAGTAGTAGAGTGCCAGTTTTGAGCAAAAAAAAGGTCAGGGACAGGGCTTGGGTCCTGAGTTGGACCTACAATACTGGCACAAAACAAGGGGTGACATTGCTCAAGATATGTTGCATTCATAAACTGCTTTGTTGATACAACTGCTTAAAAATAATAATAAAAAGAAAAATCTCATCATGTCAGTATTTTCCACATAAGCACTGTTGAGCCATGACACACAGAAGATACAGAATTATGATTACTGGCAGGAAGAGCATGCTGGAAAGCAACAGGATAGCTATTGAGGAACTCAGTATCTAAAGCCAGGATTGGATATATAGGACATGATTTGGTCATCTCACAAGATTAGAAAATAAAAATAGCTTACCTAAAAGTATGATATCAATGTTAACTTTACTGGCATTGCTAATTGCAATTTTCTGTTAACACTCTTTATTATAGTAGATCTAGTGAGTGGGGAAAAAATACCTGATCCCAGAAACTGATTTTTTGGGGATTGTGGTTATTTGGGAAAGGAAAAAAAAGACAGCAAGATCTATAAAGAAACAAAAACCAGACTGTCTAAAGGTTATGCTATCTTTTTGGATATTGTCTATCATTATTTCTCTAAAAAGTAAATCCTAAGTTCATTGAGTATCTGGAGGCTTCTTTTTGTTTTAGTGTTTGATAATTATAAGATAATGCTGAGAGGTAAATGGCTTAAGATCAATTGTTGAAAGAGCTCACTTTACATTGTTCTCAAAATGAGTCTTTAGTTTAATACCGAATTGTACATAAAACAACCCAAACCTCTGATAATACTAAGCTCTTTGCAATATCTTTTGTGTACTTTCTGTTTTTCATTAGGACATGTAAATAATACAGTTAGTTAATGACAGGCTCCATGTCTTTACTTTTACAAACTCTCTAATTTTTACTAAATACTGAATAATTGATCTGTTACAGAATTTGGCATTTTTTCCATTCCTTCATGGCTCAGCCTAAACCTTGTCTTTCTCAGGGGTGACTAGAGGACAGGGCAGAATCTGTCCCCACCTTACGGTGTGTGTTGAGCTAATAGAACAACTGAGGACACCAAAGTCTGATTTTTATGCCTTCATCTTTCTCATCTCAGGAGAATCTGTAAGAGGCACTCATGTGGGCCAGTATAAAAGCTCTAGGGTCCTCAGGCTCCTCTTGACATTTACGGGTATAAGAAATGCTATTTTAAGACTAAAACCATGGAAGCACAGTAGCTTTAAGAGTCAGACCTCCATGGGCATATTTAAGTTGGGATCTGGCAACACACAACAGACACGTGTTTTCTCAGAAAAAGCATCTTCCTTGTAAGACTATGTGACTTAAACCATGGCCTCTGCCATGAGCTGTGTGGAGAGTGTCGCTCCTGGTCTCTCCCTCCCAGCCAGCGTCCTCTGTTCCTTCCTACTATGGCTGTGCCCCCATTGTTGGCTTATTATCACCCTTTTCCCTCTTATTAAACAGTTCTTTTTTTATTTCATTTGATGGTATCCTGAAGCATAAGCCCTGATAGCCCTGTTTTACTAGCAATCATCCTCTGGGTTTTTTTTTTCTTTTTGATTGTGCAGAGAGTAAAAACAGGCCACTTGTGTTAACCCAGGCCTGGTTATTGCAAGCAGTTACATCATAGTTGTTGACCTGCTGGTTGATGAACAGGCAATGTGTTGTATACTCTCTTGGGAAGTTCCTTTGCGGGGCTGTATGTGACAGATGTGGACAACCCAGTACAAACCACTGGATTCCTCCCCCTCCACTTAGATACTGCCCAACTTTGTTTACTCATGAAGCCCATTGATGAGCCTGGTGCCACATGTAAAGGGGTCTGTGTTATAACTGAAAGTGATCTTGACAGGCAACCAAAGAAGAAATCTGTTTCTAGGAGCATGACACCCTTTGAATGGTTTTCTCCCATGTTGCCTATCCCAGCCATGACTTTGATGCTGGCATGAGGTCCCTGCTGGAGTGATACCTCTGCTAGGACTTGTTTACAATCTTAAAACCTCACAAAGTGTGTCTGGCCAGGCATTGTGCATGGCCATAAAGGTGTAAAATGACGAACCAAACAGATGCATCCCCTGCACCGTGGAGTCTGGTCTGTCCAGCAGGCAAAGTGGGTTACTCAAGAATAGCTACACTCGCACAGTAGGGAAAGTAAGTATTCAGGGTATGTGACCACCTACAGGAAGTGACATCCAAGCTCAGACCTGAAGAATAGAAGACCTGCTCTCTCAGAAGAGATAGGAAAGGACAGGAGGGAGGTTAGTGTGGACAGAAGGAAAACAGCCCAAATCACACTAGTGGGTCATGGAGTCATGGAACATGGGTTCGTCTCTAAGAAGGCTCAGGGTACCCCAGTTGGGGGCTCTTAAGTGACTATCACTGCCAAGAAACTCAGGTCTTAAAAAGATTCTTAGACATTTTAGGAAGGTATTAATCATAGCTGGATGTTGTCCCCCTTTTTATTTGGCGTTATAGCAAAAATGTGATGTCGCTTCCCAAAAGGCATAATGGAACTCAGTTTTGCAATACCCGTCCCATGTCCCCTGCCTCCACAACTTCCAACCAGGTCAGAGTGACCTGCTTCCCGTCTGTTCCTCCAGTTTGCTTTACCCAGCAGGTTATAAACTTGCTTAGCAGGACAGAGAAATAATGTTCCTGAAGTGTTCTGTAGGCATCTATAGAGAAGAAGGGTCCTGATGGCCATGACCAAGTCACAACTAAACAAAGCACACCATCCTCACAGATCCCTGAAGACTGACTCTGAATACGCAGCCTATTTTGTCATTCCCAGCTGAATGATATTCAAGTCTCTCGAACCTCTTCTTGTATTCTTAAAAATCCGCCCCTCTCTCCTTTGCCAGGTGCTGGTGGCTCACGCCTGTGATCTTAGCTACTCAGGAACCTGAGAACTGAGGATCACTGTTCAAAGCCAGCCCAGGCAGGAAAATTTGAGACTCTTTATCTCCAATAAACCACCAGACTGAAAGTGGAGCTGTGGCTCAAAGTGGTAGATCACTAGCCTGGAGCAAAAAAAGATCAGGGACAACACCCAGGCCCTGATTTCAAGCCCTGTAAGCAACCAAAAATAGAAAAGAAAAAAGATTTCCCCCTCTATAACAGAGAGATAAGTATTTTCGAGGCTTCCGCACTGTTCCTGCTTTCCAAGAGTATGTATGACTAGTATCTGTAACTAATGACTACAGACACCTGGGGGTACGTAATGTGTTTTATAGTCTTCCTGTTGGCTGCATTGTAATTAAGGTATTGGTTGAAACTTGTCATTTCTGTCGTATACTGTCTTTAGAATCCCTGCCCTCTTTTTAATGTGTTGGAAAACCAGGGAGGGGGATAAACTATAAAGTTGGAAACTACATAACCAAGGTTTTATTTGCTTGCTCCTGTATTTATTTTGGTATTTGTATTTCAAAAATGACTAAGGTATGTTCCTTGCCCTCCAAGAACCTTCTAGAAAGACACAGGGTGTGGGACCAGTTGGCAATGTAGTTGGTCAGGAAGAATGTGTAGGAGGATCACTTACATCAGAGAGCTAAGGAAGCCAGAGCTTCCCCCTCCCTGCAACTGTGTTCAGAATAAGAGGATCCAGGGCAGTGCCCGATCATGGCGAGACAGTTCTTAACCCATGAAACGCACACACTTCACTGTATATACCCTGTGATTTCTGTCTGTGCTCTGTTCTATACAGTGAGTCTCCATGAGCTGAGTACAAAACAGGTAATGTCTCACCTGAACTCAGTGCTTTCTCTTTATATATGTGTATATATATATATATATATATATATATATATATATATATATATATATCCTCATTCATGATACTCAGTGGATCACTTGGTTAAGGTGCTGACTCCCAGACTTCCTGATGTACAGGGGCATGGATGTAAAGGAGTGATAGAGTAATCAATCCCTTGTCACCTAGCAATCTTACTTCCTAAAACTCTCTCACCTGCTGCTTCATGTCCACTGACAAGACTTTGCAGGATCAGCTCCGAGTTTTTAGTTTTGAAAAGCTATGATTTTTTTTCCAATTCTAGCATTTCTTCCCTAGTAAATGACAATATTTCTGTATTCTTTCTGTCTCTTTCCCCCCATTATAGCCTGGTGGATATTTACATACCAAGTTCATTGCAAGAAATTTACAGCCATTCTTCCTGATAATGCCACTGTCCCACTGTGGCCAGTTGGGAGCTACTTTTGGCTGTGTCCTTTCCTTTGATAACACATCCTTGCTTTTTCACACAGAACATCCTAGGCTCATCTGGTACATTCCCTACCCACCTCTGAAATCAGCCATGTCTCAAGAAGCTCATTCATTACAGAATGACACTTAGAAATCAAGATTTGAGCATCAGAGGTGCTCAGTGCTAAGGAGATGCCTTTGTAACTGGACTCTTTACTGAAGCTACAAAATATGTTGAATGGGAAAAGAAAAACATGTTTATTTTTTCTGAAGTATAAATCTATTCTCTGTTAGAAACTCAGTTGGGATGATTATTTGAGGCTATCTAAGAGCCTTTCTTCTTAACTATAACAACAGTGAAAACCTTAAGTTTCCTTTATGGCTGTTTGTCTGTCTGGAGGGGAAAGGGACAATTTTCTTAATTGTTTGTTTCTTGAGAAAAAAAAAGAACTTCCCACAAGTGTTGCCCATGGACCCTGTAGTTTAATCATTTGTGTTTCTTTTTAACTGTATTTATGTCTGTAATGGGTAGGGATCACTGGATCTCATATACTTCTTGGGAAGCCCTTAATATCATACATTTGCTATACATCTAAAAACCATTTTTAACGTTGCAGCATTCATCATTTAGTTGGTTGTTTCCAGGTGCAGCTAAATCAAGTCCAGCATCTAAACCGGGATCCACACCTTCTCGTCCCTCTTCTGCCAAAAGGGCTTCATCCAGTGGCTCAGCATCCAGGTCTGACAAAGATTTAGAAACACAGGTCCTACAGCTTAATGAGCAGGTAAGTCATTGTCTCCATCCATGTTTCTGTCATCACTGATGTGTGAGGCACAGAAAAGCAAACCCCTGTAGGTCTGAGACAAAGGTGTGAAGTTGAGGTAAAAATCAGTAGACTGGTGAATAAAGGGTGTTAGTCATTCATCTTAAAGCAGTACATCAAGATGGGGCAGATAATTTAGTCGCAGCAAGTCTTCAGGCCGTACTCAGCCTTCCCCATGGCTCAGTGGCATCCTGAGCTCCAGTCTGGTCTGTAACTCATCCTACCCACTCTGGCCAGTCCAAATAATTTTAAAGGGTGTTTTAGGTTAAACTATCTCCCTATCCTTCCCCTTTTCCTAGACTCTCTCCTTTTAGTAACTGTCAGTTGAGCCTATTTTATGTGACAGATACTATGCTGAATGCTGGTAATATAATGGTAGCAAGATAGAGACCTTCCTTCCTTTAGAACTTACAGCTAACAGTTGAAGTAAAGAGGAGGAAGGAAGGGAAAGAAGAGATAAAGGGGTGGGGGAGAGAGAGAGAAAAGGAAGGAAGGGAGGGAGGAGAGAGAGAAGGAAGAAGAGGAGAGGGAAGGGGGAGGGAGGGAAGAGAGAGAAGAAAAGGGAAGGAAGGAGAAAGACAGAGAATGACAGAGAAAGAGAGCATGCAAGTGAGCAAGCCAGCCAGCCAGACATTGGACAAAGACTGCAGCTGTGTTTTAAGTCTGTTTTTAATCTAATATAGTAAATGTAGCTTTACTGGCTTTTAAATTCCCAATGTAAAATCATAAGTATTCTAACTAGTAATAGCTAATTTTGTGTAAAAATATATACAGCTGTCTCAAGTGATAGAACACTAGCCTTGAGCAAAAAAGTTCAGGGACAGCACCCAAGCCCTGAGTTCAAGCCCCAGAACCAGCTCCCCCCCCCAAAAAAAAAGTATCCACAGCTTACTTACAAATATTAAAACAATGGGATTTGTAGGGACACTGCAGAAGTTCCCCCCGCCAGCCCCAGAAACCAAGATGTCATTGTGTTTTGTTGTCCTTAAATAGTAGTTCACAGAAGGTGCCATTTAATGAAACAGTTTATGGCTACAATGCATCTTGACCAATGACACCCTTTTTGTCATTCTCTTCTATCCCTCTCAACTTACCCCTTCCCTCAACATTTTTAATGTTGTAGAATATACATTGAATTCTTGACTGCATCTCCTCTCCCCCTCCCCTGACGGACTTCTTCTTCGTCTTCTTCTCTACCCTTTCCTTCTTGACCCTACCCCACCCCTTTGAAGTTCCTGCTTCATACCATTTGAGTTCTTTCTCGAATCTGCCATATTTCAGGTAATACATTTGTATACTCTTGCATACCACCCAACATATTTACTTATGTATTTATAACCTAAATCCAGCTTCTACTTAGCAGGGAAAACATGGAACCTTTGTCTGTTTCGGCTAGATTTACTTAACATAAGTTTGTCTTTACAAAATGCCTTGTGGAACCATCCCGATGCTGCTACCAGTCTGTGAAGAACGTGGAATCTAAGCCCTCAGGCTGTTCCCAGCCACTCAGCAGGCCAGTCCCAGTGATTAATCTTCTTTCTGCTGAGTCAGCAAGAGTTTGAAAAGTTTCTTCCTTTTAAAAGATAATTGCATATTTGCAATCAACAATCTAGTTTAAAAAGCAGGCAGCTGGTTTCACAAGGGTGTTTCTTTACAATTCCAATCACTTTAATGAAAAAGTTAAAACCTTAAGTCATCTGGCAGGTAGATCTTTGATTTAGAAATGTGAAGTGTTCCAGTTACCTGCTGGTTCTTAGTTTGAGCTCATGGAGAATTTCTAGTAATGACTTCGCTAATGAAAGACAGTAAGGATAGCAGTAATGAGCTTTAGACCACAAGCCTAAGGCTCCAAGAAAGCCATAGTGAACCTAAAGAGAATCTGACATAAGTCCATAACACTTCAGATTTATGCCTACATTCTGCTTTAAAGGCTCAGATCTTTTGATATCATTATACCTCATTTCTTCGTGACTCCTTTCCTCCCTGTCTTCTCCTTCCACCACACTTAAGTTTCTAACTACCTGGCCTAAATGCTCACTGAATGGAAGCCTTCTTCCCTTGCCCCCTTTCTTTCTTACAGCCTTGACCAACAAGGCTACTTCCTCTCCTTGTAGTCACCTCCTAGCTCCCCATTAGCTCTTCAAATCCAACAGAGTTCCCATCCCAAGACCTCCAAAGCACCATGATTAAACCATCTTGTCATCCTAATGCTACTCTAGAAAGGTCTTCTTTCCTCTTGTAATTCCTTCATTATTCCCAAGAGGCCCCTCTGCCCTCCACCCCCAGGCCTTGACACAGAGGAGGAAGTACCTGACCCTACTGTGCCTCCCAGGAGGAGACACACACTCAAACCTGGGAATCCGTCCTTCAGCAGGTATCTTCTCCCGATCTGCAATTTGCCCCTTCTGCTTTCTGATCTTGAAGCCTTCAAGAGTCTCTCTGAGCCTAAGGGGAGGCCACCCAAACACCACAGTGCTACAGCTGAGAACACAAGGACAGAAGAGGCCAAGTGAGTTACAGTGGTAATAGAGAAAGTGACAAGTGCCATAAACTTTCAGGATTTTCACTTACTTGGCCTCCTGCCTTTATTCAGGCAATCTCCCATGATCTGCTATAAAAGTAACACTAGGCTAGACAATCTCAATAATAGAGATGAATCAAAAGATGTAGGGGAGGAAGACATAAATAAAATAATTAGGGATTCTTTCTGGGCAGTGGGTTAGCCAACAGGAAGTGAGTTAGGGCCAAGACTGTGTGCAGGGACCCCTGATGGGGAGGGAAAATAGGCTCTGGGTAACCCAGGCAGAGAGACCGTGGCTGTCATTCATACATCAAGGCCTGGGAAGACCTGCAGTCTGTGGACACATTGGGAGGAGTTGTGAGCTCTGTTGAAAAGGAATATACACTCCATGGTACTATGCCCTTGACTTTTCTTACAGATCCATCAGACATCTGCCATGACATGTGAGAGATGAGGTTGGCCTCGGTCTTTATGAATAGGGCCATGAAAATGGAATTATATTTTCCAGTTGATCTTTCATCCACTAACCTAGCTGCTGCCAGTTTTAACTAGAGAATGTTTATAGCTGAGTGCCTCTTGCCTAACACATCTGGAATACCACCAAAACCCATCCTGGGCTGAGTATTTGTACAAAAACCTCAGCTACTTTCTCATTGCACAAACCAAAGCACTCCCAGAAAGCAGCCAAACCTCAATTTTGTGGGTTGATGGTATCCTTGGTTGGGTTGGGAGAGTGGTGGTATATCTAACCAACCAGCCACAGATCCATGCGCTGGCACCAGCTCAGGGTAGACATGGATTGTTTGGCTAAGCCAAGAGATGAGGTTTATTGGTTTCAAGCAGAAAAAGTTCTCTAGAAGAGTTTTCTTTTTTTAGGAAATTCAGTTTTGTTGCCTTGTGTATTTACAAACATTCATGGTCTCATATTAACAACAGAAAGAGTTCAGAGTCAGAGAGGCAGAGATCAAGAGGACCATGGTTTGAGGCTAGTCAGAGCAAATGATTAACCATGCAGGTAGACAGATCGCTCTGACTGGTTAATCAACAGTTGATAGAAAAGAGTGATTGGCATTCTCCTGAGACTGGACGTTTGGTCAAGGCTTAAGTTCAAACAACAGCCTTCTTAATTCTTCCTCAGATTTGCACTTACTTATTTCATCTTCTCTTTTTATGTATTTTAGGTCCTTGTCTACAAGCAATAGGTGATGTCTTATTTCTTGTTCTGTATTTGGGGGATTTCTTCTCTACTTTTACTCTCTGCAGGTACATTCATTAAAACTTGCCCTTGAAGGTGTGGAAAAGGAAAGAGATTTCTACTTTGGGAAGTTGAGAGAGATTGAGCTGCTCTGCCAAGAACATGGGCAGGAAAATGATGACCTTGTGCAGCGACTAATGGAAGTGCTCTATGCTTCAGATGAACAGGTAAGTGTGTGGAGCCGTCGGCTCCAGAATTCTAAAACAACTCTTCATCCAAGTGCAGTGGATCCATGCGCTAAGTCTCCATGGTTCCCTTGGGCTTCAGAACTATAGCTGAATCAATACATTCGACATTCTCAGAGGAATAAACATTTTCATCACCATCATCGTCTGTTCACTCAGTTCTGTGGGACATGTATCCATAAATCAGCCTGGAAAGAGATCGGTAGAGGTAAGGGCTTTACCTGAGAAAGGACAATCCAACCTCAAGTAGTTTTTAACTCTGTGAGCAAATAAGCAGTGAGAATGTCTATAAGAACTCTTCTTTCTTCTGATCTTTCAGTGAGTCTGATTGCAAGAGAAATAATCAAGATACCCATAGCCAGGACAGACCAGCACTGTGGGACAGCCCTTGGTAGAAGGCTTCTTTCATGGGGAGAACTTGACACATTTGCTGCTCGTGAGCAAATAAGCTGAGAGCAACTCAGCATGTGTCTGTGTGGGCAATGAAAAGCAGATGTGAGGAGCAGGGAATGAACCCAGGAGGAAAGTGGGAGGGATAAATAGTAGAAACTGGGGCAAATCATACCAGTCTGCCTGTGCAGGAAGAGAAAGGCCTAACACCCAGAGAAGCAAGAACCTCACCTTCTACAGATTTGAGTGGTGAAAGGCAAGAGCCACAGGCTAGGGTTCAAAGCTGAAGTGCTTAGGTCCATCTGACCAGGAAGCCAGTGGTGCTTAGACAGTGCTGTGGTGGAGTTGCACAGGGCTTAGTATTTCTATTGAAGTAATGAGCCACTGGCAAGCTTACTGTCTCTTCTTCCAGCAGAATGCCAGGCCAGTATTTACTTGATTTATGTCTTAACATGATAGCAGTGAAGCTTTCCTAAGCAATAAGGAACTGTGTCTGAGGTTTGGAAGCTCTTCCTTAGTCACTTTTTGTCTTGCCCTTAGTATTTTTTTAGAGTTCTTTCTTGATTACCAGTAGGTCAGAATGTAGATTTGGAAGCCCCTAGGAGTTGGCCTAGTGAAGTCTCAGAAGCTGTTGTGGCTTCCAGTAATGTTAGATCTGATGGTAAATGCTGTGTAGTGTCTGTGACAGTGAATTACACAACGTTCTTTACATACAAAGTGTTTTGCTGTCTGTTGAGCACAGAGTAATTATGGTTATTGCCTTCCCAAACTTGATTTCCCTAAATTGAATGAGGGCTACACAGCCATGGGAGGCATCACTGACCAAGCTGTGTTAATACATGCCAGCCGGAGCAAGGCCAGCACACAGGCCCACAATGGCTTCCCAGCCTTGCTCTTGCAGCAGGATGGAAAACTCTCATCCCAACAAGGCGACCTTGTGCTGGAGTACCTCCAGATAAACTCCAGTTGAAGAGTAGTGGCAGGCCCATGGATTCCTGCAGAAGGATAGATAGATAGGCTAGCCAGCCTCTAGCAAGCGTGCTGGCCTCCCTGGTGTGTCTTCAGGGGTCTCTGCCTAGATGTCCATACTTGGCTTTGTTCAGCCATTTCCATCACACTGTCCAACCTTAACACCCCTAGCTGCCCACAGCGCTGCTCTTGCAGTACATGCACAGCCACAGTGCAGATGCCTGCCCAGGAGCAGTCATGCTTGGAAGCCTCATTAGTCATAAGACTGAATGAGTTTATCAGGTCCTTTCTCAGTCACCTTGGCTGAAACTAGACTGGGAGGAACCTGTGGCTATGGGTGTATTCACTTATTAGCTCCTCCTGTGCTCTTGAGAATTCTAGTAGGTATTTGTTATTGTTGTCCCATTTTACAGATGAACAGAAACTAAGAGAGGTTAAATATCTTTCCCAAAATCTTTGACAACTAGTCTGTATCCTGGGTTCATGCTGTCCCTTCTCCAGACCTGACCACATATGGCTTTTGGGAGGTACTTTTTGGTTGGGGATTAGGGGAGGGGTGCTAGGAATGGAACCCAGAGCCTCGTGCATGCTAACAATATGCTCGCCTTCCGCCTGTGAGCCAACTTTTAAACAAGATGGGGATAGTAATGGCTAGTATTTATTGAACATTTAGTATATTCTAGATAAAGCATTCTTGTATAGTGAACATTTTGTTGGCAGTACCGAGATCTGAAAATCAAAGCCTTACACTTGCTAAAGAGGTATTCTACCACTTCAGCTACTCTGCTGGTCCTTTTTGTATTGGTTATGTTCATGATAGGGTGTCATTTTATGCCCAAACTAGACTGGACTGTGATCCTTCCTGTTGTCACTGGCATGTCAGGTACATGCCACCATACCCAGCTATTGTTTTCCCCCTGTAGCGAGGATACCAGCCTTTAGTTGAAATGGATTCTCACAAACTTCTGTGCCTAGACTGACCTGATCCCTAATCTACTCCTTCCAAGTAGGTAGATGGCTGGATCCACCACATACAGCTTCTGTGTTCATTTCTCACCCTAATCATATCCCTACACAGTGAGTGATGTTCCTTTTCTACATTTACAGATAAGATGACTCTCACAACAATGCATGGTTAACAAACTCCACCATTGTGGTTTGAGCCCAGGTTTATTGACTTCAGGCCCCAAATCTCCAGGACTGTGTTACCTCCCTCCTAGCATATTAGGTGTCAAGGGGCAGGAAAAAAAATAAAGAAGACATGTAGATAGATGATTTTCTTGGAAGTCTTTAGCTGAATATGTTCTTTGTGTGAAGAAGTTAATGCCAATCAAATGCCTACCTGGATTTTCCTCAGATCACTCCCTCGTTTTATTTTGTTGATTTATACCTACAAATGTCTTAGCATGGCCTCATCTACCTTGGCATTCACCTGGTTGAGTCAGCATCTATTTTCTGCTAGCTAGTTGATATATTTTCTAAAGCCACTTTTATTGTCACTGCTGGCACTGTGCCACTTTGAGCCTTCACATCTGCCTTCCTCCTCGAAGATCGTGAGTCCTGTTTCTGGGGCAGCCTCCAAGCTCTGCACTGGAGAGGGACCTTAGAGAACTGCCAGCCCTGTCCACCACCTCTTTGTCTCGTGGTCTGGAAAGGCATCACTTTTGAGGACATACTCAGTGGCTACAGTGCCACCCACAATCCCATGCCCAGCTCTCTAAATCCTCCTTTGTTTCCATGGCACTTGGTCCTGACCCTGTGACCCTATATCCTGTTTTCAGGACATTTCCACACTGAATGGCAAGTCTGCACTCACATGCAAGTCTCATATGCATGGGATCCAGAAAAAAATATATCGCTAGTTTGTTCACTATGCTGTTGGTATGACTGTATACAAGTCTGAGATGGCAAATGTTTCTAGACATCTGCCTTTCCCAGAACGCTCCTGGGAATAGCAGAACTACTGGAGAATAAGAGGATAGATTTTCATGGTTGCAATTCAGTTAAAGTACATGACATACCACGTATGTCACTTACAGGCCATGCACCATGTGTGTCATATGCATCATGTATGTCACGTGTTGTACATGTCATGTGTATCATATGGATTGTGTGTGCCACGTATAGTATGTATCATGTATGTAATGTGTGCCAGGTGTGTCAAATGTGTCATTTGTGTCGTGTATGTCATGAAATGTGTCATGTGTACCACATTATATGGCACAGGTTGCATGTGTGTCATGCCATGCACATCACAGGTCATGCATGTCATCTGTATCATGAATGTCATGTGCCGTGGCATCAGTTAGGTGATGTGTTATTCTATGTGTCATGTATGTCATATGCTATTCATGTCATGTGTGACATAGGAAATGACCTTTGTGCCTTGTCATTTATGTTGTGTGTCATGTCATTTGTGTCATATGTCATGCATGTCCTTTATGGTATGTGTGCTGTGTATATCATGTATGACACTTATGCCCTGTGTGTTGTGCATGTCATGTGTGTTATGTGCCATTAATATAAATTATGTCATGGCATTGGCATTGTGCACGCCTTGCCATGTGTGTTATATCATACACATTTATGCCATGTCTCACTTATATAATTAATGTTATTTGTCATAATTGACACATTTGTGTCAGACATGTCACTCATGTGTAATACATATTGTGTGTCATATGCCATGTAGTTTGTCGTGTCATATATGCTATGCATGACATGTGTCCTTTATATCATGTATGCCATTGTGACACATGGCATGTGCACAATGTATGTCATATGCCATGTAGGTCAATTATGTCATGTGTGTCTTATGTCAGGTGTCACATGTTATGTTGTGTGTGTTCTGTATGCTGTGTACCATGTCGTGGGTTATGTGCACAACACAGTTAGCATACCTAACACATGTGGTATAAATGACATACATGACACAAATGACATTTATGGCACACTTGACACATATACAAACATGACACCTATGATATAAACACCATGCATGACAAACCAAATACATGAGATGTGTGACACAAATGACACGTGTCATTGAAATATAAAATTACCTGGCACATGACATGTTTGACACGTGACACACATGACATTGATGGCACATATGACAAATGACATGCATGACATGACATAAAAGACAAGTATATGGCATGCATGGCATAAGTGACACAAATGTCATGCATGACAACATGATGTAGATGACTTGCACAACACATGGCATGATGAATGAAATAACATGACATAATTGACATGTGTGGTGCATGATGTGTGACACGTGTGAATGACATATGTGGCACATGTGACACGTATGATATGCATGACATATGTGTTGTATATCTGGCATTCATGATACATGACATGTATGACATAGTGCAGATGGCATGACACATGGCACAATTGTCATGCGTGGCAGGTGACATGCACGGCCGGTGACATGTATGGCACTTACGAGATACGTGTAGCGTGACACGTGGCATGTGTGACATAACACATGGTGTGCATGAGACCTGTGGCACATGTAGCAGTATGGGATGTGTGACACAAATGAAATGCGTGACATGACACTATACACAGGACGTATGATGTACTATACATGTGACACATGTACATATGGCATGTGACATAAATGACATGCATGAGGCTGAGTGTCCCCCTGTGTTTAAGAAGCAGGAGCCATTGAGCTTCTATGAAGACCCCCTCCTCCATCTTTTGACCCCATTTCTCTTCTACAATAGCCACAGTCTTTCAGTACTGTCTTCTATCTTGCTTATCTTTTTATTGATTTCCATGAGAATAAAGAGTTATAACATCCCTCAGCACTGAGCATTTAGAGAGATGTAATGGGTTGATATGGAAATACTAAAATTAACCAGCTGGTACTTCAATGCATCCATGCCAATTTCCCTTGGCCTCCTACCTACATGTGAGCTTAATTTCTTCATTCTCACATTGGCTATGAAAAAAAAAAAAAGATTTTTTTTCCCCTGAAAACCTACAATGGCATTGTATGGGCTGGGAACTCTCAGCTGTGATATGTAACATGTCAAAATTTCAGGTATGTTTTCCCAGACTTTCTGACTGCTTTATTTTGCACCCATGCATTGATAACTTGGGGGATTTGTTTCTTTAAGTCAGCATTGCTCAGGTCTGCATTTCTGAAGTTAGGTGACATCAATTGCATTATCCTCCATCTGGGATTTTAGCTCACTGTGTGAGGCTACTGTCCTAAGCCAGTGGAGGCCACAGAGCCTCCACTTGTTCAACATGAGGAAGACCCACCCCTTGTTCATCATGGGGAAGGGTCTCATTTAATAGATCCCTGGTCCTACAGCTTGTTACAGGCTCAACAATTACTTGAATCTGGGTCTTTCAACTCTCAGTTCTGGGTTAACTCTATTGTCCTATAGTTAACTCCCAGCTTGGATGAGATTCTTTGCAAAATGTAAAACAGATCCCACTTCTGAGACTTTCCCATCAGTCTAACATGTACATAAACAATTATGTAAGAAAGCACACTTTGGGCCAGCTGAGGGTTGAGGGGAAACACGGAAGACATCACCCTATACTGAAGAGTTAGGGTAATAAATAAAACAACTCTGTCACACTGGGGGCCTGGAACCTGGCTAAAGAAGTTGTAAAGCCACACAGTAAGGAATGCACCCAGGGCTACTGTATACTGTGTCTCAGAAGCAAAAATGGGGACAAAGGCTGCAAAACTTAGAGGAACTGTTCATATCCAGAGGAAGCAGAGGCTTCATGGAAGAACCATGCTTTTCCATGAAATGGTCATTGTTTTCGTTCCTCTAAACAGAGGGAGAACACCTGCTTTTATGGAGGCCAGTGCCTGTTTCTTGGCTAATGTTACCATGAGTGAAATGCCCTCTTAGTCCTCATCAGAGTGTCACTGTCAGCTGAAGTGCTAGCTTCCTGAGCTAAGATGACGGCTCTGACATATGCCAAGCAATGGGCCAAACAGCTAGCAGAGGATACTACTAAGTGTACAACCTGAGGTACCCAGGACCCAGAGAGCCTGAGGCCAGAGAACATCTGAAGTAGGAATGTAAGGGCCAGACAGACAGCAGGAAGTGGTCCAGCCCTATGAGGTGGTAACATGATGTGGTTATGAATATGAGGGGATCACACAATTTCCAAATAATTGGCACAAAATCAGTAAGACATAGTGCTTGATTTGATCTCAGGTCTTTCAGACAATGTCACTTTCTACTTTGAGTTGTCACTTTGAGTTACTTTGTTATTATTTATACTTCTGGAAAAAATATGTTAAAGAGTTCTTCCAGTAGAATCATAATCACAACTTACACTTAATAGTTACTATATGCCAAAATTCCTTCTAGGTATTTTATTGGTTTTTTAAACTCATTAATTTCTGTATTCATCAGTCAGTTAATCACACTGAAAACCTTATTATATAGGTATTCTTACTGTCCCTCATTTTACAGACAAAAACAGTGAAGGCATGGAGCAGTTACATTACATGCCCTGACTCTCACAGTTTAAAAATAACAAAGCTGGGACTCCAAAGTCCATGCACGCAACCTTGACATACTACCTCTCAGAAAATACTCATCTTGTGACCTTGACTAATAGTCTGATAGTCTTTGTCATCCATTCTGAGTCCTCCATGGGTTCTTCCTCTTGACGCATCATGTTGAATCTATAGAGGGAAGAAAAATGAGACTGAGTTGAAGAAAGCTCTGGTCCTGCCTCAAGAACCTCAGAATCCTGTAGATAAAGCCAAAGATTTCAAACAAGATTCCAAGTCAGTTTTATAGTACAATGAACTATAGAATGCTACGGCAGGAAAACAGGTGTGGGTCTGGATCATACCTGTCTAGAATGAGATCTTGACAGCTCTGCCCTGGGCTGCAGGGACTAGGAACTTGTTAGAAAGGGGATAGGTTTAAGCAGGTCAGGAGTCTGTGTGATGGGATCTGAGCCCTTCTCCATGCCAGTTTACATGCCGCACTGCATCCCAAAACCCTGTGTCATTACAGGAGGGACAATTAGCTGCACTGGTAATAAGTTAACTTTGCCTCTAGGTCAAAATGAAAGAACTAGCTGGACACTGGAGAGTCATCCCTGTATGTAATCTTAGCTACTCTGAAGACTGAGATCTGAGGATAATAGTTTGAATAGTTTGAAGCCAGCCTGGGCAGCAAAGTCTGTGGAGGTGCAGCTCAACCTTGAACAAAAAAAAAAAAAAAGCCAAGCAAGAGTAACAAGACATTAATTAAGTTTAAGAAAAACAGAAAAAAAGAAGGAAGGAAGGAAGGTAGGAAGGGGAAGAGAGAGGAAGACAGGAAGGAAGGAGAGGGAGGAAGACATGAAAGGAGAAGGGAAAAAGGAGAGAAAGATGGGAGAGAGAAAGGAAAGGAAGGAGGGTGGTAGGAAGGAAAAGAGGGAGGGAGAACAGAGAGGAAGGAAGGCAAGGAGGAAAAGGGGAGGGGAGAAGGAAAAAGAAAGAAGAGAGAAAAAGTGAGAAAAGTTGCAGCTATAGATATACTTAACTGGGTTAGGCAAGTAATAATTAGGACATTTGGAACCAAATAGAGCTACCACACCTACCTAGCTTAGAGTCTACAAGCAGACAATAATAAAATAGAGCCTGAAGCATCCTAAACAGATGTCCCAAAACTTTGAGCCACAGCCTGAGTTCTGTGCCAAGAAGGCTCTCCTTCATGAGGACAGCCCATGAATATGACTGTTAGCCTTTCCTTCAGAAACTAACAGGTGGTTTCCCAGGTATCTAAACCCACCTGAGATTGGTACAGAAAAACCCTGCTTTAGGCAGACAGCATCAAGGCATGGATGACCACAGTGGAGGAAATAGGAAACAGATCAGAAAAACCACATGGTGGGCTGTTCATGTAGGGATAGTCACCCAGCACATACAGCAGCCTAGACTTGTGTGGTAGGGCTCAGCTTATTTATTTGTGGTTATCACAATGCTGTGGAATCATGTTTGGACTGTTTAACTTTTTGCAGAAGACAGGCAAGTATGGAATATGTTCTATGAAAATATCCTTCCAAAACAATTGGAAAAAAATAAGTTTGGTGCTTATTGCGTGATAACTGTTGTTTGCAGAATGATCATTTGATGGCACATGGATGCGAAGGCATCCCTGTGTGCATTAGTCACTAGTAGGAGGGAAATCATTGCAGGGTAAGTCCTGACTAAGCCTGATTCTGTCCACAGACTGAAGATGCCATGCTACCCAGAGATCATAAGCTGGGACTCCCGTTGGGCCTCAGATTCAGTAAATTATTTCAACTGAAACTTCTCCCTTGCCCTACAGGAGGGCCACACAGAAGAGGCAGAAGCAGAGGAGCAAGCCCATGACCAGCAGCCCCAGCAGCAAGAAGAGTACTGAACTGTCTCTGCAGCTCTTGACACTTCCATTGTGCATGGGAACTTTCTTCTGGAGAATTGGAACATGTGTGGCCTCAAGCTCAGCAAAACACCAACTGTTCCCAATCTGCTGTTACCATCAACGCACCATCGCATACGCCAGCCACTGCTCTTGGTTCCCACCTCCTTTGCCAAGATGCATTTGTAGGTGGCCATTTGAGTCACCTACCTGAGAAAGTGTAGTGTTATATACCTTCAGCGTCACCACTTGGCTGCTTGAGATTGGTTCTGCTCTCTCCCTTCCCCAACCCTCCCCCGCCCCACACCTGTTTCTTTCCAGAACAACTCTTCCCTACCCCAACACCACTACCACTTCCACCCCTTTTTATCTTGGTGTGAAACAATGGTAATTTGGTATATGGTATTTATATTGGCATTTCTTAACCCAGTGTCACTAGATGTCACATGCATTTGTGGTGCTTTGATGTTTGCAAGTTTTAACCTCTGATCATCAATTTGGTCAAGTAATGAATTGGAACAAAGGGAAACAGATACTTGATATGAAAGCCATAACGATAGTGACTTGTGTCATGGGGGGAAAAACAAGTCAGTTTCTCCCTCTCTTCACAACAGGAAAGGGAAAGAAATGGATTCAACAGTAGGACTTCAGGGCCCAGCAGTATTTCATAGAGCAGCATGTTAAACAACCACACAGTATGTTGTTAGTTTCAAAAGACATTCACTCGAGGAAAAACACCATCTCAGCTTTGCCCTTTCTCCTCATGCCCCTGCTCTCCCACCCCTGTTCCCAGGTTCTCATGGTGTTTTCTTTCTCAGGGTCCTCTTTGGTGGGCATCCGTGAACTCCAAGATGTTGTTATCAGCTATCTGCAATCCAAAGGGGGTCTTGATAGGTGCAGGCCCTCCTGCCTCATCCCTTGTCCTTGTGTGGTTTCCGCCCCCTCCCCGGCCTGCCATGTTCACTGGGGAATTCCTACTAAAGGGTAATGTGGGCCTGCAGCCTGAGCTGCAGGGCCCTGCGCGGTGTTACCCTCTGGTTGGAGGCTAGCAGTGAGGATTCATGGGAGCAAAATTCCCAGAGAATTTTGCAGTCTGGTATTGACTGGGAGAACAGCAATGGAACACCTTTGCCTCCTGGGATCTTCTAGATAAAGAGGAGTCTCCCCTCTTCCAACATAAGGGCCTACCTAGTCACTGACATTTGCTCAGCCATGGAAATTGATAATAGAGGAAACATCTATTGATGAGTTTAAAGCATTCCTTATAACTAATAGTTGCACATTTTTCTTAGTCTTTTTCCAAATCTCTGCCTTTCTCTCCCCGCCTTTTGACAGATGGTATTTCTTCCCAGATCATGCATTTTGCTTGGTTTCCAACATTAAGTTTACTTCCCCCTTCGTATTCGACTTAGCAGGTGCAACAAAAACAGAAACAAATGTGCCCACCCCACTTTCCACCTAAGTGAAAAAGCATAAAATAAATTTATGAAATATGCATCATAAAAGCTTCGAAATCTCTTTATTAATCGATGAAACACTTGCTTCTCAACTCTAGCATTGAAGCTTGGCACCAAAAGAACTCTTTTTCCAAAATAAATCTTCCGCAGCAAAGTGGTATTTATTGAGTTACATGTGGAAAAGATGGTTTGTATATTCTGAGATTCTTACAACACACTGTGCAGATTTGGACAGATAGATGTTCCATGGGGTTTGACTTCCCTTTCTTCTCTCTCCTGCTCACTCTGCATGGCAACAGCAGCTCATTTCTCTCAGGCTGAAAAGCCTGGCTCCCAGCAGTGACATCCTCCAACGCCTGGTTACAGGTAATGGCTGTGCTATACATAGCACCATGCTTACCAGTGTGTCACCCTGCTGAAGCTGTTGTACTCACCTTATTTTAAAATAGCTCTTGTAAAGAGGCACAATAAATAACTCCCCACAGATACTTCAGTGGTTCCTAGGCCATTCTTCGCCTGCCCTGGGCATCTCAGTAATGTCCAGTACCCAGTGGCTCATAGCTACACTTCTGTCATGTGAATGCACATGAGTGGGTATCAGGGAGTCAGGATCATGTGTTCTTTTATGCCACTTGATATATTTAATTTTCATAAGGCTCCCTGGTGACTCTGGCTGGAACCACTGTGTTCTTTAACATCTCAGCTTTCCCATATGGAGAAAGGCTGACCTGCAAAAGGGAGCTTCCCCAGCCTCCCCATTCCATGCTCCTTCCCAGTGGCTTGGAGGAGACTCTCTTCGTATAAGGAAGAGCTGCACATTTTTCTTCCTATCCCATCATAACCATCTCCTGTGGTGCTGTGCCTCAGTTGATGTCATGAATGCTTTGGAGTATCTTTAACAGCTGGGTTTCAGAGTCCAATAGCTTCTGCCTGTGTACCCACTACTTGTCACCCATAGATGGTGGTACCCCATTGTTCTATCATCTTGGTACTCAGAGCACACATTCTTCCATGCCTCAACTTCACTCACATGCCACTGTTCTGGGCATGTGAGTGAAGGCACTTCCTTCCCTCTGAGAACGTTGGGTTTCCGTTAGTGCCCCACACACTCACTGTTGGCTGGTTATAGCACGTTCATTGCCACTGTCAGACTGGAAGTGATTGAAGCAGGGGGCAAAGAGAAAGTCCATGCTCATTCTGAGCAGAAAAGCAGGAACAAACAAAAGATAAAATACTTGTTGACCCGAGAGAAGTAAACTCCAGAAGGGAACCAAGAATTCCTTCCTTCCCTGGTGAGTATTTCCATTATTCCGTTAAGGTTTAATATGCATTCAGATTACTTTTACTAAATAGTACACCATAAAGCTTTTGTTATATATTAAATGTAAACTGAAAGGAATGTAAACATATGTATTGTTAATTATAAATATAGATAAGTAATGGCATAATAGAAGAAAGGGTCTTATTCAGATGTATCACATCCATTCCACATTACCCACCTCTTGTAGCATGGTAGAATAGTTTTTTGTCTCTGAATATGTGAATAACTTGACTTGCGTTGATCTTTTTACATATTTAATAAAAAAAAAGTATATGTTAAAGTCTGTCTGGATTTATCGAGTCTTACAGTTTTTGTTTTTTATGCTAAAATTTCCCTTCTCAGTGACCGTGGATGTGATAGGAGGCTTGCATATGCACTCACATTTCCCACATTTTGTTATAATTTATTCGCACAAGGAAGGGGAATGTCTTTGTATTTATTGATAACTGGTGTTTTAACAGGAATTACAAGTTTGGATTTGATAACAAATGTAACAGCTGTAATATCTTTAAAAATACTTTACCAGAAAAAAATAGTAATAAAGATAAAACATTCCCCTGGGAAACATTTCACTTGCAAGCAAATAAAATCACAGCTTTTGCAGGTCCAGCCCACTCCATCTGGACAAAACGAAGCTGGGAAAATAGAGACTGTGGAAGCAGCAGGCAGATGTTTCTATAGAAAGCTGACGAAGTGGCAGAAGCTCTGAAATAAGCCTGCTTTGTTTTCTTGGGTTTAAATAGTGATTTATTGGCATGCTCTATAAATGGCATACAACACACGGGCACTGGAATGATTCAGAATCAATTACGAAAATTGGCTCATATACCACCAGGGGACACTGTACAAGCGGTGACTCCCCTGTAGACTTGACCCTGCAGCCTGCAACTCTGGGGCCATGACCCTTTTCATCCTGAAGGGTATCAGCTTTCAGCCTTCTGTAAACTGCTTTCACCACCTGGAGACCAGTTGTGTTTTATACTACCCTTTGACAACTTTTCCAGTCACTTGTCTCAAGAGAAAATGAGGAAAATAATCAGGGGCAAACCCACTACTACTCTTACATCCTTTTCCCCCAAGGTGTGTCAGTGGAAGAGTCTGTAGGCCATTGCATAGGTCATGAAATTGCATGCTCAAAGCACATGTGTGTTTCCCATTTAATTCATTAACACTGGAGTAAACACTCAAAGCCTTACAAGTAGACTTTCAACACTATAGGCAAAAATACATATAATTTATTTCAATTTAAAAATGCTGATGAACACTAGTAAGGCTATTACCAATGGTTCAGATGTAAAATGAGGCTTGTGCCATTTATTATTATTATTAATTATTATTGTCTACAAATCAAGAATTCTGCTACTGGAAGCTTGTGAGTCCAGATAATAGTAGTTAATAATAGTTCATGGAATAGTTATTCTGTTATATTAATATACTTGCATTAATTACATTCTATTAACAAATAATAGAATCCCACTTGATTTTAGTTATAAATGCCAGTTCTCTAACACTAAATACATTCAACTAATTCTTCCTTCTAACTATGAAAGTACATCTACTAACCGTGGCCATGGTGGCTTCTACAACTAGTAAACATTACTGACCCAGTTTCCAGCACCAAGGCAATGCTACCCAACAGCACAAGTGCTGGATCAGAGCCTCTCTCTGGATGCCCAACAGCTCCTGAACTTATGAAAGATGTTTATTCATTACAAGAGCTCTGGCAGGATGAGCTTAGAGGAAAGTAAAGCCAAAAGATAATCCATTGGTGCCTGGAAGATCCCCATCAGTCTATGACCCAACCATTATCTGTGCAGACAGAGCATCCTCAAAATGTGCATGGAACCTACCTCGAAGGCTTGGAGTGTGAGTGGAGCGGAAGCCCAGCCAACATGAATTTGTCCAGCCTTTCTCTCTTCACTGAAAGAAAATGTGAAACCTTTTCAGCTTGCCAAATTTGAATTTCTTTAACAGGTTTCTTGTGGTATTTTGTAACTCCTTTATCAAGTCTGGCTGCAAAATACGTGTCTTTAAAGGGTTAAAAACACATTAATGTTCCCTTCAATGTACGATTTTCAGTGAGAACTGGCCTAGTACCTTCATGTGTTCTTTTCCAGACAATAAAAAGGTTAAGTACACACTTCCTCCTGAGCAACAAATGTTAGGCCTTCATAACCTGGAATGAGGACGCCTCACCATTGTTCACAGGAGAGCTGTGCCCGTAGGCCTTTCTGCCCCTGGTTAACACACACACACACACCCTCCACCTTTGCACTGGGCTCCACTGGTGCCCTGTTGCTAAGTTTTCCTTCTGAAGGAAAGGAGAGAATGGAAAGTATGGTAACATTCCCAGTATCCTTCAAGTAAGGTGTTCCTGTTTGAAAATAGCCCAGAAGAGCCCCAGCTGCAGCATGGAGCTCAAACACAGCCCTACAAGGACAGCCATCAGAAAATGAGGTCGTTGGAGGCAGCAGCTGCCCTTGAAGGACAGGAAAGGTGAGAGGGAAGGACTTGTGTGGGAAGTTGAAGGCCCCCTGAAGGGGTGAGGCGGAAACCACAAGAGGACATTACAAAGACGGCACTGGCCACGTTTCTCCCATTCATGTTATTCCTATGGAGAGTCCATGCCTTGGAAACCAGAGGAATTGGTTGCTGCTTCACAGAAATGCTGCTCATTCATAGGCACATCTTGACGGAACAAATTTTGTCTGTTCGAGTGTCTACTCAGCCATCAAGTAAGGCAAGTCAATTGTCTCCCAAATGAGAGGTGGGAGGGAAAAGTTACCATCCGTAGCAACCCTTGAAATCTAAAACAGATTTGAGAATGCTGCTGACTCTACCTAAGAAATACCTAAAACAAAACCATAAGCTAAAATGTAATAAAATGGGTGGGAGCTGGGAAGAATGGTTTTATTTATATGCCCTCTAATATAATTTGTTTGTGAAAGTTGAGCACTGACTATGGGTGAAGCACTGGGGTCAAAAGCAATTCTTCCTAAAATAGCATATCTCCATCCAAAAGTTACCATTGTGGACACTTACACATAGAGACATACTTAATCCATTCAGTTTAGGTACCTGCTTAGTCCTGACCCCCCCCCCAAAATAAAAATGAACGGAAGACGTTGGTATTGGGTTTTGTTTTTGTTTTTGTTTTTGCTGGTCCTGGGGCTTGAACTCAGGGTCTGAGTATTGTCCCTGAGGTTTTTGTGCTCAATGCTAGCAGTCTACCACTTGAGCCACAGTTCTACTTTGTATTTTTTTAAGGAATATTATACATAAGTAAAAAAATCAGAGAAAAGAGGTGGAAGGGAGGGAAAAGGATAATGAAGAAGGAAGGGAAGGAAAGAGAGAAAGGAGAAAAGAAAGGGAGAGAAAGAAGATTAAGCCAGAGATGAAATAAATAGTTCCATCTTCTAGACTCTTCTAAAACTAAAGGGAACAAAATTGCCATGAGCTGGTTCCATATCTTAGCTAGGGTGAATGATGCTGCAATAAACATAATTGTGCTGGTAGCTTGGGATGGCCTTGTTTTTGATCACTCATAGATGAATGGATCAAGAAAATGTGATATATATATATATATATACACATATATGTATATATATATATATATATATGAATCCTATGCCTCCATCAGAAAGAATGACACTGCCCCATTTGTAAGGAAATGGAAAGACTTGGGAAAAATCATATTAAGTGAAGTAAGCTAGACCCAAAGAAACAT